GCGGGAACTTTAATCTGTGTTGGCAGAGGTTTCTTAATGTTACCATTATCATAATGGCTAGTGGTTTCTATGTTTTAACTCACGGCTGTCCAACATTTTGGCTTCCCTGGGCCAGGCTGGATGAACTCGCGTCAGCCCACCACAAACTATACAAACAGAAATGATCGGCAAAAAAAAAAAAAAAAAAAAAAGAGGCGGGGGGGGCGGTTCATGCATAATTTTCATGATATCTGCCACCACAGATTAAAGTCCTCGCATTCAAACGCTTGGACACGGTTGTTTAACTGTTTAATACATGACTGCTTGCCTGCCTGTATTGTCTTTGCCCATTGGCTTTCAACTGGGGTGGGTTTTGCCCCCACGGGGACATCAGGAATGTCTGGAGACATCTTTGTCACAACTTGGGAGTGAGGGGATTGCTGGTGGGTGGAGTCGGGGGATTATGTGGCTCAAAATGTCAATTGAGCTGCTGTTGAAAAATCCTATCTTAGCTAATATCCCCACTGTACGAATGAGGAAATTGAATCTTGGAGTGGTTAACTTGCCTCTTACAAGTTTCAACCCAGGTAGTCTGAATCAGGGAACCTTCCTGCTTAACCATGACCCTATATACACCTACGACTAGAACCAGTACCCTGATTTGAATTCAAACACGTCACTTGTCCAGCGAGACAAAAATGAGGTCCAGAGAGGGGAAGAGACTTGCCCAAGGTCACACAGTGCAGGAGCGGGGCTAGAACCCGGGACTCCTGAGTCCTGGTCCAGTGTTCCCTCCGCGGGCTTTGCTTCTGCCTCTACAGAGGACCCAAATGGCCAGCCCTGGGGAAAGGGCCTAGGGAAAGAGGGCCAGCTGCCATGCCGCTGTCCGCTCGGGCAGCCTGACCCGGGCACGAGACTCCTGCGGGGTCACCTGAGGGCGCCAGGGAGAAGAGCGAGGGAGGGAGCAAGGAGGAGGCAGGAGCGCTGGCTCCAGCTCCGCGTGCTCCCAGCCCGTGGCTGGGCGCCCACGTGAGGGTCGCCCCAAGAAGTCGGGGGCAAGGAGAGAGGGTGCAAAGCCCCGGCTCGGGCTGGACGGAGAGAAGCGCGGTGGAGACTTCCCCGCGCCCTCTCTGGGCCCATTCAGCCCACCTCCCACACCAGAGTGTCGCGCCGCAACCCCTTACTCCGCGCCCTCTGACCCTGATCCCTGCCCTCTCCCTCTGGCCAAGTCCTCGCATCCCTCGGATTCTTACACGCGCCGCCCCAGCAACCCGGACCGCGCGCCGGGGTCCGCACCACGCAGCCCAGCCCGCCGGCGCCGCCGCCAAAACCCCGAGCCCGAAGCTGTTGCAGCCGCCGCAGCCGCCGCCACTTCAGCCACCGCCACCAGGGTAGCTGCGCCAGCTCTCCCATCCGCCGCCTACCGTCCTCTCAACCCCGCTGGCCCCGCCCCATTTTCCCTTCACAGCGTCCTACTGGCTAACTGGGCTACCATGATGAGCTCTGATTGGTCAATTCTCACGTCTTTCCGCAGGTCTCGCCCGCAGCCGAGGCGGTACTCCCTGCCCGCCTCCTTAAGAAGGGGCGGGACGAAGAATCCACGCCCCTTTCTCCTCCCATCTCCCCGCCTTACTCGTTGAGTCCAACCCAGAGGGAGTCCCAAGTCTTTCCATTGGTGCAAGGTCAAAATGGCGGTGCTTCTGATTGGTCAGGCTTCAGGAGGTGGGGACAATTGAGCGGAACAAGAAATTGAATGGTGAAAAGAAAGGTCAGTCAGACACAGAGTCCCGCCTTCTGAGATTGGCGGGTAACCTCGCAACGCTGGGACCGCGGCGGTAACCGTGGCTAGGGAAACCTGGAGCCGTCAGAGCGGGTGAGTAACCAGGTAGGAAAGGGTCGCGGATCGGGGGAGATGTGGAATGGGGTTCAGCCCGATGTCCTTTGGCTCCCTGAGAAATTGGTAGCCCCCACTGCGATCCCGTCTCAGCTTCAGGACCCCGTCTCTCAGCCCCTGCCTCAGTCTGGACCTCTCGCTCCACAGCCTGCAGGGAGCCGGCCTCCATTCTTCCCCTTCTACCTGCCCACTTCATGGCCCCACTCCCTCATCCCTAAAACGACGAGGACACCAGTCAAGCAGAGTCACATCGTAGTTAACTTATTTCAAGTCAAACATGGGAGCTGTGGGTGGGAGGGGGGTTTGTAAGTCCCCTCCCATTCCACCCAACGACCAGACGTTCCTCGGTGAGCGGGCCATCTCACTTCAGTGTTTAAATTAGGTAGTTTTTGTTTGTTTGTTTGTTTTGTTGTTGTTGTGGTGGTTTTTGCCTAGCGCGGTGACTCACGCCTGTAATCCCAGTACTTTGGGAGGCCAAGGCGGGCAGATCATTTAAGGTCAGGAGTTCTAGACTAGCCTGGCCAATATAGTGAAACCTCATCTCTACTGAAAATACAAAAATTAGCTGGGCATGGTGGTGCACCTGTAATCCCAGCTACTCGGGAGGCTAAGGCACGAGAATCACTTGAACCCGGGAGACCGAGGTTGCAGTAAGCCAAGATCGCGCCATTGCACTCCATCCTCAGCAACAGAGCAGGACTCTGTCCCAAATAAATAAATAAATTAGGTAATTTTTATTATACCACTTTTGCCTTTGTCCTAACTTTGGAATTTATCTCCCATCTCCGTCCTTAAAATGTAATCTCTTTGTACCTACTGAAGATAGAGAGTTTCTTGTGATGATTAAATGAGGCTGAGGGCTAGGCACAGTGGCTCAACCTGCAATCCCAGCAATTTGGGAGGCCGAGTGGCGGATCACCTGAGGCCAGGAGTTTGAGACCAGCCTGGCCAACATGGTGAAACCCTGTCTCTACTAAAAATACAAAAATTAGCTGGGCATGGTGGTGCAGCATGCTGTGATACCCAGCTACTTGGGAGGCTGGAGCAGGAGAATTTCTTGAACCCGGGTGGTGAGGTTTGCAGTGA